GGGGGGGGGGTCCCTTATTGTCCGGCCTGGGAAAGGCAACGCGGAACGAGGCCCAGCCGGGGGGGCGGGGACAGTAGGACCCTCCCCCGGCTGGGCCGGGCCACCGCCGGGCTGAGAGCCACTCCCAGCGCGGGGAGGGGACTCAGGCGGCCGAGCTCCCAGCCGCTCCCCTCCTCGGTTTACATGTCAAGTCCCACTCCCTTTCCAGAGCGGGGAGGGAACCTAGGCGTCCGGCTGCAAGCTGTGCTTGCCCCTGCAGCCCAGAGGAAGGGGCTTTCTTGGGTCAATCAGGTTATTCCCTGGAGCAGAGGATCCAGCGGGAGCCCAGATCCCTGGGTCCTGTCCCTGCTCGGAGAAGGGAGAACAGGTGCAGTGATAAAGCAGGGGAGGGGCGGCCCGGACACCTGGGATCTATCCCAGTTCGGGGAGGGGAGCTGGGGTTGGTGTTTAGAGCAGCGGGGCTGGAAGAGGAGGCCTGGGTTGTAGCCCAGCCCTGAAAAGGGGTGGGGGTGTAGGGCAATAGAGCAGAGGAGCTGGAAGATAGGACACTTGGGTTCTGGGAGAGAGCTGGCACTCAGGTTTCCTGCCCATCCCAGCTTCCCAGGTGGGGATAGACCCCTATGTCCCCCAACCACCCCCTGCCTGGGGAGGTGATAGCAGCAGGGTCTTATCCTGAAAGCTACCCAGCAGGGCCTTGCCAGCCCAGAGCAGAGCAGAGCCTCCCCAGGGGTACAGCAGACAGGGGAGAGAACATGAAATGCAGCGAGTGTGCCTGATCTCAACTGGAGGCAGAGAGATCACCCCTTCCAATGCAGGCTTTTTGGGGTGCTACTACCTTTGTACTCAGCTCTGAGCCCAGGCTGCCTGCCCAGCCCTGTACCCTTGGACTGAGCAAGGGCAGAGTCCACAGTCAGGCAGCGGTGTTCAGTGTCCTGAGTCACCCTGCCCTACCCCACACTGTGACTGGGAGCCGTTAGGGAGGAAGGACCTGTTTGAGCAGCCCTGGCTCCCAGGCCTCCCCCTCACAACCCACCAGACTCCACTCCCCTCATAGATGTGGGCTAGAAGCCAGGAGTTCTGGCTCCCTCTTGTTCTAATCCATCAGATCCCCTCTCCTCCCAGGGCCAGGATAGAAGCCAGGAGTCCTTGCTCCCAGACTCCCTGAAAGAAATCTAATGTCCTACTCCTATACCCAGCAAATGCACCCAGTGCTGACGTGTGGCTGCTGCCCCCTGTGTAATACCTGTGTAGAAAGTTAGGGACAGGAAGTGAGGGAAAAGCCTGCCCATGCGGGCCCCCAGGAACTGAAGTCAACAAGAGCCTACTGCATGAGAGGTCTTCCAGACACTAACTAGCCTCAGATCCCTGTCTTGGGGAAAAGGACACAGCTTTGGTTGTCAGCCACACGGCAATACCCCTGGCAGCCAGCAGAGGGCAGCACATGCTCAGCAATGGGTACAGCAGCCGTCCTGGCCCTGCTGGCAGTCTAGCTGGAGACTCCTTTCCAGGGGCCCCGTCAGGGGGCGCATACCCAAAGAACCTTGTCTGCCTAGGGAAACTGAGGTCCTGAGTGCAGGATGGGTCACCTCACCCACAGCACATGCCAGAGATGCCGGGCAGCAGGGCTTCAAGCCCCCCCGCCCCGCTTCGGCCACCAGACTGCACTGCCTTACCAAGGTGGGGTCCCAGGAATCCTGTCCCCTCCCCTCCCTCCCTCCCATGGCAGCCTGCTCCTCTTCCAGAACCAAGGCAGAACCCAGGTGTCTGACTCCCATCCTGCCATTGCAGTAACAGCCCAGTCTCTCTTGTCTTTCCTTTGACTGGCAGTAATGAACACCCTAGGGGCACAGTGGGACCAGGGGTTTGGATGGTAAAGAGGGCTGGTGGTGCCCAAGGATGGCTGATGCTGGGAACTGGTTGGTGGGGGGGGGGGTCTTCATGCTAAGGAGAGGACCTGCAGCAGGGGCATTTCCACCCTTCCTTACCCATTCTGTGTATCATGCAGCTGATCTTCTTGCAATTTGGGGTCCCCGCTTTTTAATTACAATGTTAATTGCTCTCCCTGATGTGCTCAGATCCACATGAGTGGAATGGCAAACAAGAGAGCCAGCTGGTGGAGTGCAGGGGGGTGGGGAGGGGCAGGGAATGGAGGAGGAAGCCAGGACTCCTGGGTTCCATCACCAGCGCTGGGAATGGAGTGGGATCTCATGGTTTAGAACAAGAGAAATGGACACCAAGACTCCTGGGTTCCATACCCAGTGCTTGGAGGGGAGTGAGCTCTGTTGGGTTAGAGCTGGGAGGCTGGGAGTCAGCATTTGGGGGTACTGAATGAATAAATCCAAGGTGTTTTTAAGAGGCCTTCGGAGAGAGTCTGAACAGGCTGGAGATATGTTCTTAACTGTGCACCTTTTATTGGTTTTGTTAAATGCAGCTGTCTCTGGGGTGAGGCATGTCAGGGGCTTGTTATATAGGATCTCTCACCAGATCTGAAACTGAAATGCAGTTGCCTCTTCTCTTAAACCAGTTGCCTGTGGAGGAAGGGAGGGCTTAACAAGGCAGAGATTGGAGACCAGGGAGTCCTCACAGGTGCAGGAGCCTGTGGCATGCACCCACTAGGGGGTGCTAGGGACTCCATGCTGCCTCCTATCCCAGGGTTGGGACAGAACCCAGGAATCCTGTCTCCCAGTCCCCTGTTCTAATCCACCAGACCCCACTCTTCTCCCACAGCTGGCATGAAACCAGGTGTCCTGGGTCCCAGCCCCTGCTCTAACAAGTAGATCTTCTGGCTCCCTCATCCTGTGCTACACGTGCTGATCCTGGGCCCCACTGCTGCTCTGTCATTGGACTTTCCCCGTCATGTCTATTTTTTCCTCCTTTCTTCCTCATTCCTCTTATCCTCTGACAGGAGGATGAACATCACAAGCAGGAACAGGGCCTTTGTTCCTCTGTGCTGCCATGCTCCCTGCCGCTGCCCACCAGCCTCAGCCACAGTCTTCTGCTCATGCCCATGCCTACGCCCGTGGTGGTGTGAGGACTGTCTGGAGCACCTCTGAGAGCAAGCACTGCTGGACAGAGGTCCTGGGGGCCCCCTGCTGTGGGGAGTAAGGGTGGAGGGTGATGGGGGGTACCATGTTGCAGGGAGTGGAGGGACTTTGGGGGCACCATGCTGGCAGGAGTGAGGCAGATACAGTAGAGACCATGTTGTGGGCAGTGCTGCAGGGGCTGGATGGGGTACACTGTGCTGTGCAGTGGGGCAGAGGTCTTGACAAGGCAAGCTGTGCTTCAGGGAGGGAGCTGCAGGGGTTGATTGGGTTAATGGATAGGGAGATACATGTGCTAAAACCTACTGTATCTGGACTCCTGTGTTCTGTCCCCACTTTGGAAAGGGAATAGGGTCTCATGAGTTAGGGGAGATGTGCTGGGAGCCAGGGTACCTGGGTTCTTTTCCTATCTCCTGAGTTGGTATGAATCTGCATGTTTGGGTGTGTTGTGTGACTGTGTGTGGTTGTGTATCTATGCAAGTCTATTGTGCAAATCTATGCAGTTGCTTCTGTGTATAAATGTGTGTTGTATGAATCTGTGCACATGTATGATTGTGTAAATGTGTTATGTGAATCTCTGTGTGTAGTTGCACATCTGTCTGTTTGTGTGTGTGCACGCATGCATGTGCACAGGTACTGTATGAAGTTATGAACTTTCCCTGTCAGCTTAAAGATGCAAATGTGATGGTGCTGTGGGCAAACACCTGGGGAAAAAAACATGTAAAGCATAGGAGGCCCTAGGAACAAATTGTTCTCCATAGTGGCTTCTTCCTAGGGAAATATAACAGTCTACAACTGCTCCTGCTGTAGACCACTGGCTTTGAGGCAGCACCTGGGAAGATAACAACCCCAGCTGAGAAGTCAGAGGCCCAGGCTGCTGTGCCTTAGACCTTGTGGTTCAAATCACTGCCTGTAAGATAAGAATCTATTACTGCTAATTGTGTTAGCTCAGAGGGCTGCAGTCCAGGCCTCTCAAACTGGAGGTGGAGGCAGACCTGCAGAGGAAACTCTGCCTTTAAGCCCTGTATCATTATGACTTCCTTCCTGCCCAGGCTTATTCACCTGTTCAGCCCCATCAAGTAGGTGACCCCCCACACTGCCACTGGTTTTCCTTAGCAGGGTCCCAGGAGGGCTTTCATCACAGCACAGCACCTCCTGCTGCATTTATCCAGAAGATAACAGCTCCCTACTGTTGCTGACTGAGGTACTCCATTATGAAGGGCTAGGAGTCAGCACTGCCTGTGAGCATCCACCAACACACAGGTTTTAGCACTGACTGGGACTGGGAGAGGAGAGCGCCCCCTACTGAGCCCCCCATCGGCTCCAGACGAGTGACTCTCCCCCATGTTTACTGCTCCCCAGTCACCCATCCACATGCCAACCTGCTTGAGCTTCCAAGAGCAAACAGTAGCTCAGCCTGCCATGCTACAGGGTCAAAACAGTAGGCTTTTCCTCCACCCCCAGGATGCTGGGGGGAGGCTCTCCCGGGTGTCTTCTCTCTCTGCCCCAGCTCTGCATCCGTGGGTGCAGGGAAAACCCGGGGCTGAGTTACACCCGGGGGAGACGCGCTAGTGGTCGGGGGGGCCCAGTGCTCCTCACCCACATTTCCTCCTCCAGGACCGCCCCCCTCCTCTCCCCGGAGGGACCCCCGTCTCCGTTGGGGGGAGGGGCGATTTCTCTTCTCTCTTTCCGCCCCCCCGCCCCCAATTTATGGGGAGGCGATCCATGGGGCTTCTGCCGTGCTCTGGGCTGGCGTCCAGCTGCCGGGACTGCAGCGCGCCTGGCGACGCCTCGCAACCCCGCTCCGGGCGGGTGCGGGAATGGGGATGAGCGGCTGCTGGCTCGGAATGCTAATGACCCGCGCCGG